TTACTGATCTCTCTGGCTTCAGAAAATCTAACATCCCAGCACTCCATTCCTGGCAGACAATATAGTTAAAATCTTTATCAATTCAGAGCTTCCTCTTCCCCTGATCAGCTAACCAAAAAGCATTTCTGCAATTATGCAAATATAATGATGATTGCAATTAATGTTTATACCGAATATGATGTAATTCTCATTTTTGTCTTTCTGTTAACTTGTCACAGTGACAATTGTCATTAAATCTTATGAACTCAAATTGAACTCTCTGTTAAAGTGACTCATCAGCATCCTGTCCAGGGAGGTGCATCTGTGCTCTGTATCCCCCAGGATAGCCCCTCTCAGGGCTGTACCTTTGAGCCATTTTACTTGATGGTAAGACCATCAAGATGGAAACCATTGCTGCCACTGATCTAATCTTGACCAGCAAGTATTGGGGGAAAATGATACAACTCAGATTATCCTCAAATATATGTTCTCAGGGCATTTTAGTGTCTTGAGGTGATCCTTGCACAAGTTGCCAAATATTTGTCAGTAATGTTACCTTCCAGTGATTCTGTTGTCTAGCAGTATATGAAAAGTTCTGAGGAGTCCTACATTCAAGCAGTCTCACTTCATTTAACAAACATTCATCCAACACCAGGCACCATCTGGGGGTTAGGGATACCAGCATCGATCAGATAGCAGCCCCAATCCCAAAGGATTTATCTTCTACTTGTTCCAGCTCTGGGTTCCTTGTGCTTAAATCCTAGTTCTGCTTGACACACTTTTACACTTCTTTGCTGTAGTCAGTTGGCCACTTGAATAGAGGAACCTGAACATGAGGAGAGATCAAGGCTGGAGATAAATTTGGGAGTCGTGGCACATAGATTTAAAACCACAAGTCTGGAGCCATCAAGGAGGCTGTGCTAGATAGAGACAAAAGGAGGCTTAAGATAGAGATCTTGGTCCACCAACCTTCAGAGATTGAGGAGAAAAGAAATCAGAAAAGGAGCCCAAGATAGCTGCCCAGAGAGTCAGGAAGATCATCAGGAAAACAGGGAGTCTCAGAAGGCAAGAGAAAAGAAGCCTGCTTCCTTTGTTCAACCCATACCACTCAAATTCTTTGTTCTGGTCTCTCTTGAGTATTTTATGCTGCATAAAAGTCCTCTAAGGATTAGCTGTGCTTTCAGCTGGAGGAATGGGACTGCAGTATACATGACCACTCTACTCATCTGAGATACCAGGAACAGAAACCCATTTTATTTTTAACCCTATCACTAGTACAGTTTCTGAGCATTGAACACTGGTTCCACCATAGACCAGGGTCCATATCAAGCCAGGTGCTTCACACTTCAGATAGAGACGTTGCCACTGTCAGTAGACAGAAGTTGCCATTGTCACTAGACAGAAGTAATAAGACTAGCTTTCCTAAGAGTGGTGGGTTAGGTCTACCTAGAAAACAAATGTGCAAGTGAGCTTCTGAACAATGGTAGTGATGGTTTAAGATTCTGCAGAGTGACTGCCACCACTTTTCCATTTTGTCACAGTGGATATCTATGGAGGTTCTAAAATATATAGAGAGTGCCGTGCCTAAGGCAAGAGACGGTGCAGAGAGGAATAAGATGCATGTCTCGTCAGTGCAGGGCCAATGCAGCCCACCCCTAAGGAGAAGAAAATAGTAAAAGTTGAAATTGCTTGGAGCATAAGAATGGAACCTAAATTGTCTTTTTTAATAGATAAGAATAACTATCAAGGTGAAATATTGTGAAATGTGGAACAACAAAAGACTACTGAGAGAAGATTGGTTTGTTTCTGAGGTGGCAGCAGGCACTGGCAGGCATGGTCACACCTTAAGGTCATTCTGGAAGGATGACTGTTCCCACCTGGAGCCTCCGAAGCAGATGAACAGTGAAACTATGCAGATAAGATCAATCAGGTCACAGACATATGATGATCAGTGTGACCTGGGGACCAGCCAGGCTGCATACTGCTTGATGGCATTATCAGGGCAGTGAACAGGCAGCCAAAATGCAGTTCTTAGAAAACCAAGTGACCTGAGACCTTTCCACAGAAGGCTTTTCTGGCCAGCAAGAAAGTAAAGCCTAGAAAGCAGGTACACAATGAAGCACAACAAAGGAGCGAGAAGGAAACTGAGCCAGCCCAGGCCAGGACTCCTCAGGCACAGAAGAAAAAGCTTAACTGAGCATTGAACACTGGTTCCACCATCGTCCCCTCCAAAAACCCTTCCACCCATATTTATTGGGGACATATTATGGAAGAATAGAGCAATACATTAGCCCCCTGCCTACTGGGGGAGACAGAAAGGTAAATAAATCATTATAGGTAATTACAGTATGCAAGCTAGTGGATGTGACAGAGAGGGCTGACTAGTATGACGACTACCTGGGCTGAGGTATAAAAGCAAAGTCAGAGATACTTAGGTAACAAGGATAGGGGGCATCCCAGCCCATGCCAAGCCCTGGCCCTGACACAAAGATTTTAGGAAGGATTCTGATGGATTCTGATTTGCTTGGTTAGGGACATGCACTATCCTGGGGCTTGCAGATTTAAGGTCAGGGAAAGCAATCCTCTAAGGGACTGACCAGATTATAGAACAGACCTGCCCCTAAATGAGGACAGGCCTCCACTAGATGGCTCCACCTCAACCAATGGTGTCACAGTCCAATCCCAGTGAGCCCAAGACAGACAGAAAAGCAACAACTGAAAACTTCAAGTAGGAGAGCTTCAGGAGCTGCTGTACCAAGAGGGAGACGGAGCGGGAGTTGAGAAGGGACAGAGTAGGTGGCACAAATATCTGCCCAGTTATGTCAGTTTCCCCAGGGGTACACCATGCAGAAAGTCTGACGACTGAAATGATAAACCATGGGTATCGAGTGTGAATACCAAGAGGAAGCGAGAAAGGCAAGACCCTCTAGGAAGTAGGCAAGAGGGTGTTGAAGGAAGGTGGGAAGAAATCTTGGTTTCCTGGCATAGTCCTGGATCATGCTTGTTAATGATGTTAGGTAGCTTTTCCACTCTCAGTCCTTCTTTGGATGATAAATTCTGTGGTCACCCTAGGTTGAAGGGATATACCATGAAGTGTAGCTTAGGAAGTAAAGGCAGGAGAGAAAGAAGCACTAGGCAAAGAGAAAGAGAGTGTGTGGGGGGGTGCGGTTAGGTAAGTTTAAGGTTTCAGATGTGCCTTGGCTCTCAGTGACCACAGTGTCCAGGACTAGGTGGCAGAAATGGGAAACTGGCACTTCATTTCCGGGCACCTTGAGATACGGACAGGATTGAGATGAATCCAATGGTTGAGTGGATAATGAGCCCAAATGGAGGTCCAGCCAAACATCAGGGCAGACACTGTAAGGGGACCGAGGCTTTTCCTGGTGCTCAGTGTGTGCTGCAAGTTCCAGGGCTGTGGGATCTTGCTCTTTGTAGTATTCTCTGTGGAAAAATAGGTGAGGCTGTGGGCGCTCAGTAATTATCTGTTGAATGAAGGAAATGCTTGGTCTCTGGAAATTCTAAAGTATCTGAGGGATGAGTTTTATTTACCAAATTTTGTGAATGAGCATGTAAATTCAGAGGCATTAAATAACTTATGAGTTCCCAATGAATTAATAGCAAAGAGAGAATTCAAACTTAGATCTGTCTTATTCCAAAGCCCACATTGTTGATTACTTCAGTATATTGGTTTCAAAGATCAAAATAAGACCCAGAATGATTTATTGTGTTTTTTTTTGTGTGTGTGTGTATGTGTGATTATTTATTAAGAGCTTTGTGTCGGTCAGTTTTCTCTCCCTGAGAAACCTATAGGAGGGAAGATTCATTTTGGCTCACGGTTTCAGAGCCATGGTCAGCTGGCTCCATTGTTTCTGGGCAGTTTCTGTGATGAGGCAGAACATCATGGTGGAAGGACATAAAGGAACAAAGCTGCTCACCTTATGGAAGCCGGGAAGCAAAGAGACAGCAGTGGGGCAGGAGACGGACTGGGGACATGATATGTCCCTAAAGGCATACCATCAAGGACCTACTGCCTTCACCTAGGTCCCAACTCCTACCATTTGCACCACCTCCCAATAGTACATTCAAATTATGAATCTATCAATAGATTAGTCTATTGATGAGGCCAAGCCCTCATGGTCCAATCACTTTCTAAAAGCCCTACCTTTGAACATTGCTGCTTTGGGGACCAGGCCTTCAACACATGACCCTTGGGGGACATTCCGGATCCAAAGCTTATCTGTGTCAGGCATTATTCCAGATGTTTCTCTTATATTTAATCCCATCAACATTTTAATCCTCACAACAACCCTATAATGCAGGTGCTGTTTTTAGCCCCAGTTCACAGCTCCAGGAACTGGAGCATCATGAGCATCATCATCATCTGGTTCCAGAGCCGGTGCCATTAATCACTGACGGGTGATGCCTCTTGACTTGTCAAAGAAGTTGTGCACATGTTTACAAATAGCATGATTTAGTTACTTCTCCTGAATTCCTTTGTTTATAAAGTCCAGATTTTGAAACTGTGTTCAAGCACTAAATTAACTCCAGCTGAACCCAGCTGAAGGTTCTGCTGTGTCATTGGCCACCAAAGAGGTGAGATTCTGCAGAAAGCTTGTTATACACAGAGGCAGACAGAAAAGGAAACACACACCAGCAAGTTGCTGTAATTGAGCAAAATGCTCAGTCCTAGGAGAGGGACAACACAGATGGCTAGGACTGAAACAAGAAGGAAAGGTGGAATCTCAGGTAGGACTATAGGAGATGGGACTTGGACGAGGTGAAGCTGTGGCAGAAGCCCAGATGGCACATTCCCTGAGCCTTTGTCTGATACAGATTAACACTAACAAAGAAAGAACAATCCAGAGACCCAACGATCCTAGGAAATCCCAGGAGAGGGCAAGAGGCTGGTACCTGATAAGTTCACAAGATGCTGTTTTGCTCTCACAATTCACAAAGGAAGCATGTCTGTAACTTTGAAGTCAATAAACCAAAAGAGGGAAATGAAATATGTTCTCTTTCAGACTTGCACACCTGTGCCAGTGGAGCGTGTACCCTATAAGGGAGAGGTCAGCAAATTGAAACCCAAAGACTCCACAGTGGGGACCACGATGCAGGACCACCCCTGATTTGGTGCTGTGAGTAATGGAGAGTGGGTGGAGAAAGTATTCCTGTGTGGCAATCAGCATATAAATGTCAGCATGTGAAATTAACCTCTCTCCCTTCACAAGCCTTTGAAGAGTCCAAGGTCAAAGGCTTCAAAGGCAAAATGCAAGGACAGTTGAACTAAGAAAAGACTGATAAAAAGAGCTGTTGGTGTAGAACAGTGAGATGAGCCTTCAGGATTAAAGAAGGCCTTAAGGGTGATGGCAAGGAACATTCCACAGATCCCCAGAGAATCTACCACAAGTAAAAAGCAGTGGGCCCTGTTACTGCACTACTTACAACAAGGAGTATCATTTCATGGTCAAAATTTATAAACCAATTAGAACTTTATATGGAACAATGAATCTTTGTATGGTAAATTCCATTGTGTTCTAGAATTTAGAATGCATGAAAAGCGAATGTTGCTTTCAGGAGTGTAATTCTCAGAAAAATTATTTGATAGTATTTGATGCACTTTTTTTTCCATGCTTAATTTTTGGAATATAGACACGATCATTTTTTAAAAGATGTTTGAGTGCTTCATCAGGTGCCCCTCATTCTTTTTGACATACATATGTGTCTGTCTTGGAGCACCTGTGATCACCATCCTTGTCAATGTTTTTCTCTTTAATTGTTTTCCAATCCTGTTCTGCCATATCCCTATTTAACAACAGTGGCCTTGCTGTGATTTTAGTATCTCTCTACCATCACTTCGTACTACTGACTTCATGAAATAAATGCATTTTTCCAGTTTTGTAATTTCACTAGGTTCTGAAACTTTTTTAAAATTTATTTCATGACATGTTTTCAGATACTTCAACAGTTACCAATCTGCAAGAGACTTTAACCTAGGGTTGACCTGATGGATAGGGCCAGAGGTTTGTGCTAATCAGGGGCTCTGCTTGACAAAGATCTGGTTTTCTATGTGCTCAGGCATTGCGCATAGTCATATTTTGACAGCCTGTGCTTCTCTACAAAACCCCCATGGCTTCAGGGATGTGGATGATGAATCCTTGAATAACCAAGCTCTCTGTCCCACATGCTGTGCCTGTTGTCAATCTTGAACGTTTTCTAGCCCCCAGTTTCAGTGTTTTTATTGTTTCCACACTACTGAAATTATTCTTCCAATTCAATAAGATCATATTAAAGATTCAAAAGAAGATTAGCAAGGGATGGAAATGCCACTGAAAACTGTCACATGCTATGAACTGCATTTGTAGGAGCGGGCTTAGTGTTTACTTTGATTAGAGCGTTTCTGGGGGTTAGCTTGAATTCTGCCTCTCTTTGTGGGGGAGAATGCTACACTGAGTTGCTTTTATTCTCTTCAAAGGTAAAATCAGAGGAAAGGATGCTGTGCTCCCCTCACAGCCACACGTTGTCAGCCCGTGGAGACCCAGGCCTTGTTTCAACTCCCCAAGATCTTTTAGGAAAAAATAATCGCTCTAGGCCTCTTTGATTTTCTTTCAACAGCAATTGCTGTCTTCCTTACTATGCCATTGTTGTTGCCTAAGATTGAAGATATAAATGAATATTATTGTGTTGGAAAGTCTGTCTGAAAATTCATTGATGATGCTTTAAAATTTTTGTTTGCACTAGATTTCTTTGAATTTGAAAACATGACTTTCTTGTTTAACAGATTTTTTTTTCTTTTTAGTGGCTACATTTGTTTTGAAATTGCACTGCAATTTTACATTTTATTGGAATTAATAAATGTTGAGATCTTCATTTGATATTCTGTTATCTGAATTCTGTGTGTCTTCTTCTAACTAGTGGAACAGGGACTCAAGACTGTGATTTCCGGTGTGCCATCTGCTTCAGCAACTCCCAACAATCAGGCCCTTGACAGAGTATATGTAATCCCATCAGGTGCTCAACCTTAGGGGGAATCCAAGGCAATTATCCAATCACACCGATGAGTTGAGGATTTGAAGGATTCAATGGAATCAGCAAGGCTGAGAGATGCTGGGTTGACACCTTCCTCCCATGTACTTCCAGTCTATACTGGGATCCCTCTGTGTTTGCAGAGAGTCAGAGCTGCTTCTTCTGGGTAACTAGGTCAAGAGGGATGTTTAAAACATGGAGTAAACTCAGGGTAATTAGGCAGTTCTGTGGGCTCCCCTAACATACACACTTAAATCAGGGGTGGGTATTTGCTCATGTGGGTTTAACCAAGGGTAGTGGAAAAATGTACTCACCTGCCATTTGTTTTGAGCGCATGATAAAAAAGGTTGAAGGACTACACCTCAAGAGAAATCTTTAGGTTCAAACTATAACTCTGTTTTTTTTTCCCTCAGGTTAAAAGATACCTTAAAATATTGGTTATTTTTCTTCTCCACTTTGACTGGCAATGGAAATTCTACAATAGAATCACTGAATCTTATGAAAGGAAATGATTAAATTTTTTCTTACTCAGAAGCAAATTCTCACTCCGCCTTTAGCATTCAGACAAAATGTCACCCTCTCTGGGAGGCTTTCCAAGATCCGGTGACTGGGTTATGTGTCTTATTTATGCTCCTCCATAGCAGAGCCCAGTGTGGGCCCTGTCATAGTACCTTATCTGGTGCATCATACAGTTAGCACTCTGTATCCCTGGGTTCCACATGGACTCAACTAACTGTGGATCAAAAATATTTCTTAAAAAATTACATCAGTACTGAACACATACAGACTTTTCCTTGTCATTATTTGCTAAAAAAAAATACAGTGTAACCACTATTTACATAGTCTTTACATTATATTGAATATTGCAAGTAATCTAGAGATGATTTCAACCATAAGGGAGAGTCTGTGCAGGTTATATGCATATACTCTGCCGCTTTATATAGGAGGCTTGAACATCCTCAGATTTGAGGGATCTTGGGGACCCCAGAACCAATACCCCACATATGCTGAGGGACAATAGCAGTTACTGGGTTTACCGTTCTGTCTCCTTTAAGAAACTGAAAACTCATGCAGGCAAGTCTGCCTGGTTCCCCAGCACCCAGCAGCTGATGGGCATTCAATGGATACCTATTCATTTTTGAATAAAGGAAAAAGAGTGAGAGTTTCTGCTAAGTTTTTAAATTGACACAGATGAAGTTAGTGAGAACTCACAACAAAATAGGAACAAACTTCATGGAGGGTTTTTGTGTAAGGGCACTCTTCATGTAGAGCATGGGGTCATCATTGTCTCTTTGAAAGCTCTGTTTGGGAGAATGAAATCGCTATAGGATTCCATTCCAACAGCCAGTTGAAATGAATAGGGGGCTCTCCTTGTTCCTTTTATTTGGTTTCGTTGCCAATGCTTTTGTTGAGACCATAGTTCTCAATAATAATAGAAGGCAATGGGAAAACATGATTCACGCTATCAATATTTAATGCCGTATTTTCCAAGACTGCTGCTGGTGCACAAAATAAGATCTCTGTCCCTGAACAATTGCACGTTTGAGGTCAGCACAAAGGATGGATGGAACAAGTAGAATTTCTTCTCCATGTTCACCTCCCACTGAACTTCCTCCAAGGAAGCGTGAGGAGATAAAAAGTGCAGGCTCTGTTCACTACATGTGAGGCCTTGAGCAACTTTTAAAATTAAAATATGAGATTATCAAAACTTGCCAAAAGATAAAAAATATCATAAATCACCCTTTTGAATTTTCCCAGTAAAGAATGGAGACTTTCTCCTCTCTTGTTCATTTCCCTTTCCTCACCCTGGGTACCCAGCAGCCCCCCATCTGCTGTTTCATTTCCACACACATCTTTTATACCTGAATATACATGTACCTGACCCTAAGTATTGTTTTGAATGTGATTAAACCTTATTAAAACATTGCACAGTATATATTGTTTTGATTTCTGCTTTTTTGTGTGATCAACATGCTTGGGAGTTATTTGTTTTGGTGAGTCTAATTCTAGTTATTGATTTTATTGCTGAAGAATATTCTACCTACAATCATACCACAAACCACTTACCCATTCCCTGGTTGGATGAACATTCAGGTTGTTCAATGACACGGCTATCACAACACTGTTCTAAGCACCTCAGCATAGCTTTCTGTGGGTACAAATTTGAGTTTCTCTAGGGTCTATACCTTCAGTACAAGGAACAAAACTGATGGATCTTGCCTTACTTACACACTGATAAATGGTTCTCCAAGGATTTTGCCAATCTGATACCTGTCAAAAGGATCTCACTAGGTTTGAATTTGCATTTTCTGGAGTGCTAATGAGGCTGAGCTCCTTCTCCTCATTGATCTTCCTAAACCTCAGTTTCTTCATGTATAAGAGAAGAATGATAATAGTACAGAATATGTCCACAGTATGTGTGAGGGTTAGAAAGCCCAGACTGAATGGTCAGCAAATGCTAGCTACGAATGCTCTGCTTACCATTAATGGCAGTATGATGAGTTAATAATGATGTGCCATCCTGAGACTGCCAAAGCCTTGGCTATTCCTCTCTTTCTATGGAGAAATTTGCTCTGCTTGGCAATGCCAGCTCCTTGGGCAGAAACAGGGGTATGGAAGCCAAGAATGAGGGGTAGGGGTGGTGGAGCCAGCCCAGGCATGAGATCAGAGCATAAGAGGGGCTCAATGAGGGCCAGTGGGCATGGTGGCCTGGGGGCAGGTCCCAGTGAGCAGTCTGAGAAGGGACACATATAGGGGAGGTTGGAGTCTGGCTTTCAAGTGCTGAGTGTAAGCAAGTTTCCATGTCAGCAAGGAGGTGGTTACAGCTAAGGCCCTCTTCTGTTTTCTCTCTGTACAGGAAGCAGTATTCGGGCTTATCACAGGCTTTAAGTCACAAACAGTGCATTTGAACTAGCTGAGCAAGATACCTGAACTTCAGAAGCCTCGGTTTTTCTATTGCTCAATGGGAATATAGTAACCAATAATACCTCCTGCAAGGGTGGTTGGAAGGATTAATTGAGGCTGTATGCATAAAGCCCCTGGCCCTCCGTCAATGGTAGGTCAGACTGTCTCCTCCTTCCTGCCCTTCCTCCACAAGGGCTCACTCTCTTCTTGCTCATCTACCTAATATTGAGCCTCCTGAAGGAAAAAAAAATAAACGAGTTAGATTTCTTTTTGTCTAACCCACTCTTTTCCTTGACTTCTTTTTGAAGAATATCTTTTTTTGTGAATTTTTTTTAGAGAGAGAGAGAGAGAGAATTTTTTTAATATTTATTTTTTAGTTTTCGGCGGACACAACATCTTTGTTGGTATGTGGTGCTGAGGATCGAACCCGGGCCGCACGCATGCCAGGCGAGCATGCTACCGCTTGAGCCACATCCCCAGCCCCTTTTTTTGTTATTTTTTAAGAGCAGTGGGTCCATATTTATTAAACACCTACTGTTTCTAGATCACAGAACTAAACCCCTTAGAGTGGCTGCGACTCTTGGGTGCCTTGAAGAGTGGGTGGTACACCCTTGTTGAAGGAATGAAACAATCTTGGAAGGAGAAGATGATGGAGGAAGAGGAAGAGGAGGAGAAGGAGGAGGAAGAGAAGGGGGAAAGGTACCATTCATCAATAAAAAGTAACATCACAAAAAAAACATTGTGTTCAAAGTCAGAGATGCATTTGCCTAAAGAGCTATCGGCAGCATTTGTAAAAACATAAACTGCACCGTGGACTGGCCCTTAGGACGTTTGGCCAAGGGCGTTTGCATAACAGGCAGGGGAGTGAGGAATTTGGGCAGGACTTTTCAAACAGCAGTGTTCTGCCCTATAATAGGATGCAGCCTCCCCAAGAGCACAGGCCCTTTGGCTTTTTCTTCAGTGAAGCCTACAAATGTGCTCAATAGATTCTTCACAGCACTTACAGGCCCTTATTAGATGCCAGACCAGTACTGAGTCCTATTTAAACTCCATCATTTAATTCTCTCTTTGGCCTTTTGAGGCAGATAGTATTACTGTTCTTATTTAGATGAGAAAACAATGCATGAGGGAGGTTGGGTCATCCCCTGAAGACACTCAGCTGTTTATTGGGTAACTCAGGATGTAAACTCTGGTCCAATTGACTTCACAAGACCCCTCTAGCCTGTTTCTCTTCTTTTCTTTTTTGGTCCTCAGGATTGAATTCAGGGGCACTCAACCACTGAACCCCATCCCCAGCCCTATTTTGTATTTTATTTAGAGACTGGGTCTCACTGAGTTGCTTAGTGCCTCACTTTTTGCTGAGGCTGGCTTTGAACTTGTGATCCTCCTGTCTCAGCCTCCTGAGCTGCTGGGATTACAGGTGTCCAACACTGTGCCTGGCTAGCATGATTCTTAGTCAGAACTGTAGAAAGGACCCACTCCTGAGTGATGTACCTGAACATCACTGGCACTCAGAAGAAAATAACAGCAGCATTCAGCCATTAAGGGTTTATCTAAAAATACAATCTATTGCTTGAATACTTCCTAAATATCAGTTGACATGATCCTTCCAACACCACCACAAGGTGGGAACTGCAATTATCTTCATTCCAAATGTGGGGATACTGAGGCTTGGGGAGGAAGATGGACTGTAATTTCTCAGCCCCAGATCTTGTCAGAGGATGACTTGGAAAGGGTTTTCTGACTATATTAAGCCTTTTCAGTGAAGAGAGTCTCCCAACCACCCAAGATAACACAGGTAAAGTTTTGCCAATTTATCTCTATGCTGGACACATTCTTCAATTATTTTTGCATAAAAGTTATTTATGCATTATTTTCTCCAATTATTCATGCATACTTTTCTGAGATCAATGGCAGTTGTCATGGAATTCAACTTGATTTGTTATAGGAAATCTATTGGCTTTTCTTTCTCTTCTGCATTATATTTAAGATCAATGGATCCAGATTTGATGTTTTCTCCCCTTAAACCCAAAGTCAAGAGCCCAGGTGGGAAATGGTGGGTGGGAGTGATTCATAGTATGAACCACCTCTGAGTGGGTGGCTGAGCAGGTGCCAAAGCAGCGGAAGTCTAGCCATGGCCTGTCCCTAACCTGAAGCAGCATCACTCTGTCACTGCCACCCCTGAACACTCATGAGCTTAGTACCTCTTGCCATGAGGCACCTCTCTTGATGCACACAGGGCTCAGCCCCAGTCACCCATGTCAGCCCCAGCTCTGCACCATTTGCTTGTGTGGTGGTGCAGGGCACAGCTCTGCTCTGAACTTCCATCTTCATTTCCACAGAAGGAGGTGTGGCTGCCTGTGTAGTTCCACTCAAGAGCACAGAATCTAAACTGACTGGGTCCCAGAATTCCCTCTGTCACTTACTGCCTGTGCCTCTTAGGCAAATTATGCAAACTTTGCCCACTTCATGTGTCTTATCTATAAAATGGAGAATAACCATATCTACTTTCTAGAGTTTGGGGAGAATTAAATGGAGCAAGTCATACCGTGTTCTGAGCATGAAGTCAGTCCTGGACCAACATTTGCTTCTGTTATTTCTTGGCGCCTGACTGCTTTGTTATTCTACCTCAAATCAGAATTATGCCATCTAATGTCACCTCAGGAACTCTTGGTTTCCTCTGAGTCACATTTGATAGCCACTGTTGCCCAATAGTTCAATTATACAACCGAACTTAAACCGAAACACAAAACAAACCCTTCTGCTAAAGAGGTTCCCTAGCGATTGACTATTATTTCCCTACCTGGGCCTCGGTAATTCATGCACCCCCTTGAGAAATAGACCTGGCTATTTTCTTTTCAAATTTTCTCAGGAGCCAATTAAACACAAGTCTTTCCGTCCCATAAAATATAGTCTTTGAATTCATTGTTGGTGAAAGTCAATAATTGAAATTAAACCATGTCTGCAATGAATTTTTCTAAAGTCTTAAGCGTTTTTGGAATTTATTCTTTATAACTCACATTAGAATAGAAAGAGAGAAAGAGAGAGAGAGAGAGGGCATGAGTTGTTTTCTGGGTGAAGTCTTCATTATATTTGAACATGGATTAGATTTAAAATTTGTTCAGATAAGAAATCAGAGCATGATAAAGATTTGGGGATAAAAAAGGCTTTCAAGCTTCACAGCACGGAGATGAAGAAGCAGAGACTGTACGCATTTCACCCTGTAGGCAACTAAACCTTTACTGAGTGTGTATTATGTGCCAGGTATTGGCACAAGAGATAAGATTGTGGGAAAAAAAGCAAACATTGTTCCTACCCTTCCAGGAAAAACAGACATTGATCAAATAAGTGCAAAACCTACATTTACAACTTTAGTGCTTCAAAGAAAACTTCTACCCTGAAGTGAGAAGCACTGTGATTATTTTGCAGGGTCTGGGAGTGTCTTCTCCATTCAATCTCCTCACTGCCTCTTGAGCCACATCTTTTGCTTTTTTATCCTCATCACAACCAGCACCAGGTTGGGGTATATTCACAGCTGTTCCCAAATGTCTAACGCAGAAGCTGGCACATAGTAGGAAGTCAGGAAATGCTTGTTGAATGTTTACTCCTGTTGACAATGAATCATGACAAAACAGGGTTAGTGTCATTAGAAACAACTATTTCCTCTCTGGGCTTGTGCAGGTCTATTAAGTTTTGTTGTGTTTTTAGGATGGAAAGATGATAGACGGGGGCAGGAGAAGAGAAGATATGGTAACAAATAAATGGCAAGGGTTACCTTTTTGCATATTTTGGCAATTCTTGCCTTTCACAGTCATCCATTCTCAACCATTATATGGTACATAGTTCTGATAACCATAAATCATGGATATTCTAGGAGAGTTTGGAATAGTTCAATTTTAGTTCTAATATCTAATAGCATTGTTCCTTGCTGGAGTCCTTGTCTCAGTGACAGCACCTCTAAAAAGGTTGAATTTGAACAAATAAAGTCATCAGTTACACTCTTGTGTATCAATTGTCCCTGCCATATGCCAGTCTCCCCAATGGGGTTATGAATTCCCCCAGGCAGAGACTGCTGTACCCTAGTGCCTAGCATAATGCCAGGCAAGGATAGAGAGGTACATGGTGGGGGGCAGTTGCATGACTCTTCCATAAGTGAAGTAGAATTATCATCTGACCCAGCAGTCCTACTGCCTGGTATAGACCCCAAAGGGTTAAGAACAAGCATCTGAAAATCTATACATGAATGTTTAGAGTAGCAGCATCCATCATATCCAAAAGAAAGAAACAACCCAAATGTCCATCAACTGTTGAATGGGTAAATACATTGTGGTATAGCCATCCAAGAGAATAGTATTCAACTGTATAAAAGCATGAAGTTCTGATACATGCTACAACATGGACCAAACTTGCAAACAGCATGCTGTACAAAATAAGCCAGATATAATAGGTTGCATATTGCATCAATCCATTTAGATCAAATGTCCAAAATAGGCCAATCTATGCAGACAAAAGGCAGACAAGGGGATGCTGGGGGCTGAGGCAGGGAAGGAATGGGGAATGACGGCTTAATGGATATGGCATTTCTTTAGAGGATGAAGAAAAGTTCTAAAATAGAGTGGGGATGTTGCATAACACTATGAATATACTAAAAGCCACTGAATTGTACTCTGCAAAATTGCCCATGGTTACAAGGGCAGATTTTGTTATAAGTATTTTATTGCAATGAGAAAAACACTTTAAAAAATGGAAGAGGAACAATAACAATTTTAAAATAAACTGACTCATGTTAAGTGAGGGATTTGAGTGCTTCGGTGGCTGGAAAATCTTAAGATACAGAAAGGAGGTGTAGAGTGGATGTCTTCAGATGACAAGGACAGCTTAAGGAGCCCAGCTGTGAGCCCTCAGCTCTCTCCCCAGAGTAAAAACCAGGTCCTTCTGGGGGTCAGCGAGAGATTGCAATGTCAGCAATCAGGACTCAGCAATGGTCATGGTGCAAACACTGGTAGAACCAGAGCTGGTTCAGAACCCAGCTGCCTGATACTGAAGTTGTCACAACTGATCCCTCTCCAGATTTGATTCATTAATTCAACAAGAATCATTGTACCAGGCTGGGGATGTGGCTTAAGCGGTAGCGTGCTCACCTGGCAGGCGTGCGGCCCGGGTTCGATCCTCAGCACCACATACCAACAAAGATGTTGTGTCCGCCGAAAACTAAAAAATAAATATTAAAAAAATTCTCTCTCTCTCTCTTAAAAAAAAAAGAATCATTGTACCCCACATGCTCTATCCTTCCTGCCTCTGAGGTTACCAACTTGTACTCTCTGCCCACTTTCCAAGCTGAAGCTGGTGGGAAGGAACCTCCAGAACACGGACTTTGTTCATGGTCATGAGATATGACCATGGAGTTAGCTTTGCCATGAATAAGCTCCTGAGATCAGTGACCAAGAGACTATCCTCTATGCCCATCTCTGCCCTTGTTCTGGCTGTGTGGCCTTGTACAAGTCACTCATCCTGTCTGAGCTCCCATTTCTTCAACTGGAGGTAATAATATGCACCCAATCTTCCTTACAGGCTTGTTTTGAAATAAAGTCCATGAAATGAATTGAGTTTGTTTGACATGATCAAGTGTCAGATACAGGTGGAGAGAGCACCTTTTTTTTTTTTTTTCTTTTTTCTTTTTGGTACCAGGTATTGAACTCAGTAGCACTTGACCACTGAGCCACATCCCCAGCCCTATTTTGTAGTTTATTTAGAGACAGGATCTCACGGAGTTGTTTAGTGCCTTGCTTTTTGCTGAGGCTGGCTTTGAACTTGTGATCCTTCTTTCTCAGCCTCCCGAGCTGCTAGGATTACAGGCATGTGCTACTGTGCCCGGCTGAGAGAGCACCATTTTTATAGTGTTTAAGAGCATAGGTTTTTGGGAGCATCTGGGAGACCACAGCTGGCCAAGGCATCTAACTATTTAAAAATAGGAGCGGTAGAGCTGGGCACCGCGGCACACACCTGTAATCCCAGCAGCTCAGGAGGCTGAGGCAGGAGGATCGCAAGTTCAAAGCCAGCCTCAGCAACAGTGAGGTTACTAAGCTACTCAGTGAGACCCTGTCTCTAAATAAAATACAAAACAGGGGATGTGACTCAGTGGTTGAGTGCCCCTGAGTTCAATCCCTGGTACCAAAAAAAAAAAAAAAGAGAGAGAGAGAGAACTAGGGAGAAGTAGGTTGGTCTTTAGGTGGTAGTGAGGAAAAGATGAGACCACACCCACAAGCCAGCCAGAGTGGGACAGAAGGGAGTAAGCAATTGGTGAATGACAGTGACTGTGCCATTTCCTGGTTCACTGCAGGGTCCTGGAAAGGGCCTCCCCACATCTGCATCTGACCATTCATCACCCAGTGAGGATCATCCCACCCCCACCCCACCCCTGTGCTGGTCTGTCCCCAGTGGCCTTGCCTCTGGGAGTCCCTGAGACTGGGCTGCATGGTCCCCAGCCACAGCGCTGCTGCTTCAGCTCCCCTAGGCTGGCCTGCAGCTCCACAGACAAGGTCTTGGCAGCTACTCACTGTCCTCCTCCAGCTCCCCAAGTTCTGTTTTCTTTTCTTAAGTGGTTTACAATCATCCGTGCAGCTTTCCACCCTGGGCCCAATCTCACTGTAAATAATTCTCTTGTCTTGGGAATTCTTGTTACCAGGCTTCTCAAAAGGACGCGTGCACCCTTGCCCATCAAGATTTCCTGCTCGGCACAGGTCTGTGGACAGGGAGAGAGGTTCACAGCACACAAAGAAGATGTGGGCACAGCCCTCGGGAGCGTTCCAGGGAGAGGCAGCTGGAGGTAGCCAAGCCCCTGGAGGGAAGGTGGGCAGCCGGGCAGGCAGGGCCGGCATTGCCAGGCAGGTCCCAGGAGGAGGGAAGCCTCTGAGCATTTTCTTAGTGTTTTGTCTGATTTTGTTTGTACACTACAAAGGACAAATGGAACTTACTGAATCTCAGTTGAAGGATCCTAGAATATAAAGCAATGCCCCTGGGTCTCATGGGAAATAGGGAAGGAAGGTTAATTGGTATTTCTTCCATTTAGTGAAATTCTTTTGAGGCTGCTGCTTAATACCCAGAGGAGAAGAGTCAGAATAAGAATGGAGGACAGAATGGGCAAGGCCTCAGAGTCACTGAAAGGCTTCATGCACCAAAGGACATGTGACGCAGGCCAGGGGCCCACTGAAGACTTGAATTTCATTGCTTCACAGCACGAGGCCTGGGGAAAGTCGCTTAAGCTCTCTCAACCTCAGTTTCTTGGTTCATGGGCTAGAGACCATAATACCTGCACTGCTTACTGTACTGCATTGTTCCAAAGACCAAGAGATGACTTTGAAAGCAACAAAGCAAGAGGGGTGTAGCAAATGTGATATGATGACAAACACGAATGTCATGCTCGAAAAGCCAGTGGCTCTGGAAAGTTGGTTGGTATTGAAACAAGATGCAGTCGTGGGAAATTTAAAGATAGATTTGTGAGATCATAGGAACCCAACACAGATCTTTTGGAGAGGGAGGAACCAAGGACTAGAGAAATTACTGGGGCATGAACAGATTAGCAGGGGAGGCAAAGAAAGGGAGGGGTCGCCAGCCCTCTGCAGGAAGCTGGAAGGTTTTGTTCATTGATGTGTGGAGACCTGGGGCTGGGGTAACAGATAATGACGTGAGCGTCTTCCATGAGTCACTGAACCATCCATACTGAGGGTCACAAGCAAACACCAGGGCAGGGAACAAGCATGCCAAAGCCAAGGCCAGGACTGAACTTGGCAACCGTGGAAAAGACCCTCACCTGAGGACCTGGACAGTAGCATGAGCTGGATGCACAGAGGAGGCTGACCTCGGGTCCATGACATCAGCTTGGGGAGAAGACAGGTTCTGAAGGAGCTGGAATCCTGGGCAGGGTGGTAAGGTGTCCCTGGGCTGAGAAGCACCCTGGTCAGGAAAAGCTTTGGGGCAAGGGGAGGCTGATTCCTAGGAATGAGTTGACTTGTGTTTAGATCTTGTTCCTCTAGAGAGCAGGTCAGGACAGTGACCTCCCTGGGCATCTCTGTTACTCAGTGCCTTGCCCTGTGCCTGTCACACAGGGGGCACTAGTTTTGGGCCAGTGTGAACCAGTATATAAATGACACGTGGATATGGTCAAATTAAAAATACCCAGTAAGTTCTGAATTTTATTCCCCCTTTCAGAGGCTTTTGGTAAACCTGTTTTGTTTTCTTTTCCTAGAACCAGATAGCATATATGGAGATCACTCCCGCTACCCCTCCTGAGAACTCCTGTCTGTCCTGCAAGTCCCTTCTCTTCACATGGCGTAGGCACTCAGGAGTGTCCCTTTAGGGGCTTGTTTCCATGGCAACTTGCTTCTGCACACCAGCATTCTCATCTGCCCCTAGTCCCCAGGCAGGCAGGCAGGCATTGCTGCGCCTTATTCAAATTCCTGACTATGGTAGCTCCCAGCCGTGTTCACACACCCTGTGCTCATACCGAGTTCTTACATTAGGGAACATTATCTTCTCAAAGATCAACTTTGAAAATGCATTTAAACACAATAAGGCATGATCTTTAAAAAAAAGAAACTAGAAATATAGACTTAGTCACTGACTCTTCAAAACCGCTTATCTGTGTGTGTTGAATGACAGCCATGAAAGGGGTCCCTGGGAGAAGCATCTGGCTCCAGAAATAATGTGTGGCTCTTAGACTTTCACCAGCATCTGTGGACTCTGTCTGGTCTTAGTCACTGTTGTGGTCAGACCCATCTAAGAAAGATCAGAACTCCATGTCCAGCTCACAGAGGAAGAAGTGTCACAGTAAAAATTTCATTTCATCTTATTTTCTCTTTTTTATTAGAAGGGTCCATTTGTGTTGTCTAAGGCTCCTTTCAAAATTATTTATCTATTTATCCTAATTAGGTATACATACCAGCAGAATGCATTTCAATTTACTGTGCACAATTGTAGCACAACTTTTCATTTCTCTGGTTGTACATGATGTAGCATCACACCATAGGTGCAGTCAGTCATACATGTACCTAGGGTAATGATGTCCATCTCATTCTACCATCTTTTCTGACTATGGTAGCTCCCAGCTGTGTTCACACTCTGTGCTCATATAGAGCTCTCACATTAGGGAACATTGTCTTCTCAAAGAACAACTTTGAAAATGCACTTAAACACAATAAGGCATGATCTTAAAAAATGAAAAGAGAAATATAGACTTATTTGACATGTGGATATAGTCAAATTAAAAATACTTAATGCCCCCTCCCTACCTCTCCTTTCTCTTTGCCCAAAGTTCCTCCATTTTCCCATGGCCCCACCATTATGGATCAGCATTCACTTATCAGAGAGAACATTTAGTCTTTGGTTTTTGGGAATTGCCTTACTTTGCTTAGCATGATATTCTCCAACTCCAGCCATTTACCTGCAAACGCCATAATTTTATTCTCTTTCAATGCTGAGTAATATTCCCTTGTGTATATATACCACAGTTTCTTTATCCATTTATATATTGAAGGGCATCTAGGATGGTTCCACAGTTTAGCTATTGTGAATTCCGCTGCTATAAACATTGATGTGGCTGCGTTACATAGTATGCTGATTTTAAGTCCTTTGGGTATATGCCGAGGAGTGGGACAGCTGGGTCAAAGGGTGATTCCATTCCAAGTGTTCTAAGAAATCTCTACACTGCTTTCCAGATTGGCTGCACCAATTTGCAATCCCACCAGCAGTGTATGAGTGTGCCTTTTCCCTACATCCTCGCCAACACTTACTGTTGCTTGTATTCTTGAAAACTGTAAGGCTCCTGACGTGGTTTTAAAACATCACTGTACTGAAACTGAGGATGGTTCTGCTGACCCATTCTTAGACTTCATCTATCTCATTCCTACAGCACATTTTGAATATGGTCTCTCTTTCAGCTTTAAGACTTTTAAGAAACACTCAGTTGGAGCCCACGTCCGCAAACGGAGGAGGCTTATCTTGTCTTTTCAAGGTGAGATTCCAAATCCTCCTGCAAACCTGTCTGCTGCACATCACCCTTTCACAGCCCCTGTGAATGGGCATGTCCTAGGTCCTGTGTTGATCATATTTCTCTCTCAAGGTCCTAAATCACCCTTCCTGGTGGTACCATAAAGCACCATACTGATTCCCACATAGGTATATCTTACTGATAAGGCCTCTACAGGCCCAGCTCATGTATTGCTGAGGTTTGCTGCCCGGCTTCAGGAGGAGGAGTAGGAAGAGCTGACGTTACAGCTGACCTAGGAAAAGTCTTGCCCAGCAAGACTCCACACAGTAGACCATTTATTGTGGCCAAGAAAAGTTCCAAGTTCCTCAGTCCAGCTGGCCTCTGATGGCATCAGAAGCCCAGTGCTGATGTCTCCTGCCCTTTCCATGTCTGCATTTAACGCCAAATGGCATCAGAAATATGTGAAGTTTATTCTAACTGTGCCACTATGCTGTGACCTACATGGAAAGGCGTTTTCTAAAGGACTAATTCTGCACAGCCACATTCTATGATGCTTGTAGGGGGACATCTTTGCTGGTTGTTTCCTGCACTAGATGGACTCTTATCCCACCAAAAGCTATGTTCAAGTCCTAATCCTCAGTCCCTTGCAAGTAGTCAGCCCTTCCCATCCATGGGTTCCATTTCTGCAGGTTTAAGCAAACTTGGATAAAAAATATTTTTAAAAACTTATGTTTGTCAGAACACATAGATTTTTTTCTTGACATTATTCCCCAGAAAATACAACAAAACAACTACTTACAGAGCATCCCTGAGGTATTAAATAGTATAGATCTAGATGATTTAAAGTGTAAGAGTACATATGGAAATTTTATATAAGGGACTTGAGTATCTGAGGATTTGAGTAATATACATGCTGCTGGAACCAACCTCCATGGATACTGAGAGATGACTCTATAACCTTATTTGGAAACAGGGTATTTGCAGATGTAATCAATTAAAACGAGGTTATGCTGGATTAAGGTGGGCACTAATCCAGTAACTGCCTTTTCTTATAAGAAGAGAGAATATTCAGTGCAGAAGGAAGGCTGTCATGTGAAAACAGTCAGAAATTGAAGTTACAATGCCATAAACCAATGAATGCCAAGGATTGCCAGCAACCAGCAGAAGGTAGAAGAGATAAGGAAAGATGCTTCCCTAGAGGTTCCGGAGGGTGCACAGCACTGCTGATGCCTTAAATAAGGCTTCTAGATGCCAAGGCTGTGAAAGCATTGTGGATACGTTACAGCTGACCTAGGAAAAGGATACAAGCACCAACTAGACAAATAAAGGTGAGAGGGTTGAGTTTTCCAGAATCTTCTGCCTTCAAAGTTCAATTCCCCCAAGGATAAACGAGAATTTGCCAAGCTTGTTTCTTGGATGACAACACTATCTGTACTTTTGGATGTGAGAAAAGAAATGGTAGATCCCAGTGTCTTGGGATCCTGAGTCAGGAGGATGAGAAGTCAGACACTAGCCTCAGCAACTTAGCAAGACCCCATCTCAAAATAAAAAGGGCTAGGGTCATAGGTAAATGGTAGAATTCCCTGGGTTTGATCCCCAGTACCACAAAAGGAAGAGGAGGAGGAGGAGAAGGAGGAGGAAGAAGAGGAG